ATATGTCTTTATCAACCAGTCTTTGAGCAGCGCATGAATATTATCCTACAAAGGGATCATATTCTTTCAATATTATCCATCTTGGATAATATTGGTAGGGAAGTGTCATGCTAGACAATATTCCTATTGACATTATTTGGTGTCATTATCATGTAACGGTCTACCCCGTTACAGATATCGATGTGTCGACTTTCACCAGTGTCACTTAGCCCGCCAATCTGACGAGCAAATATGAAGCCTTCATCTACATGGTGTGTATAGTGCAAGTTATACGCTCCGCCTTGATAGGGTACTTGAGCTGATCTGTGCCGGTCTGCTGTCTTTTTAGTGAGGAAATATATGTGAACTAACACGATTGTAACAGAGAGTCTTATTACGTACCGACCTCCGATGCACAACCGGTAAACCAATCCTTGCTAATTCGGCGGACGCCAAATCGTCTCAGGAAGTAATGTGGTGGTCTGACATCTAGGATCCTTAGTCCCTCTAAGATGACCTGTACGAAAAATTCATTCTCCTTCGACCCGCGCTTCAATCATACTGTAAGCAAAGACTTCCTTTGTATTGAGGACTTGTCTCCAAAATGATAGCATCCAACGACATGCAGTGGTTTAATTCCACAACCCCTACGATCATTGAACATTCTCTTCAGTTTATCCCGTATGTAACGCCTTTGAGCCGCAGTGCAAGACGCCACACACAAGATTTTCAGCCGGGTGATCTCCTCCACTGATTTTTTTACCGGATTGAACACTAATTATTGAATTTACCATTTCAGATCCGGAGGTGCTCATTTGGCCGCAAAACTACCGTTCTGCGCCACATGTGCCCACTCAGTTAGTACCAGCTCCTGTTCTCATATATTGTGACTTGATGCTTTTGCACGATCTCTCAGAATCCTCACTCGGTGTTAGAATTCCTTTTTTATGGCCACTGCAAGCTTCATTCACTCATATAAAGCTCCGATCCTATTACAAATGCCTATTCCATGGCTACCTCCACTTTGGCTAGAGATGGATAGGTCTCCCAGCCAGCAGTAATACATCTTAATCCATCAAAACTCTAGCGAACACATCCGCATAAATTCCTGCGTCGTAGATCGCCATGCCTCGGACTGTCCAGAGCTTGTAGATTTCTTCATTTCAGCAGTTGGTACCTTGAACAGATCTTCCTGTGTGTACCGGACTAACAAAGATCGTGGTCCTTGAGTGCCCCCACCGTTTACTTTGGTGGACAATGGGATGCCGGAAGTACTCCCATCGTTTGTAGCTGGCTCCCGTGTATCTTGCCGTCCGCTGACCGTTTCCGGTGATTAAGACTGATGTTGGCAGCAGCCCCACAGAGTGGGTTCACCGCTTTTCTTTATTTCCCTTGAATCAGGGGCAGGTGTGGAGGGGATATTTCCCTTGAGTTGACCCAGTACGGCCTTGTTCAAACCCCTTTGTGATTACTAACGATCTTGCGTCGCATTTTTAAGATAGGAAAGCGTTAGAAAAGCACTGTTAATCTCATTAAGATAACATGGGAGCTTGATATATTCATACCCCTATTCCTATAAGTCTTACCCTTCGTGGCAAACCCAATTTTCACATCCCTATCATCATCATATCTTCTTTACATTTAAACTCTAAGTTTTGAATACACATACTACCCACGCACAAGATAGCGATAATTCTATTATCCGCTATCTACTCAACATGCAAATACTATTATTGAGTTTAAAATTGCCTATAGTCTAGTATTGAATGGTATAAAGGATCTCAAACTAGAAGCCCTATATTTTTGGCTCCGATTCATTACATATATGATGATGCTCCATCGGCAGGCCACTCCGAGATTAACAATGAAGTCTCCTGTAAAGGATCGGCAGCATTCCGTTCACATGGTCGCGTCTTAGTAATTTGCCTCCGTCCTCAATATTTTGCACTCTTCACCCACACATTGAACGTTTAACCACTGAGATGCCACACATAAGGTCCATTTGATGATATACGCAGACCTGCAGCGATCTCATCGCCCAATGTGTTTTCAAAAGAGGTCTAAATTGTGCGGCTGGTCTGTGCAACCCAATCTATAATTTGCTCACCATGACTACGATGACGTAATTAGACAGAATGAGTGCAGCAGTGATTGTGTAGCCGCTTCGTACGTCCGAGTTGTGGCTCTTTGATAACATTTTACGAACATGTAGTCCAGACTCCTATGACGATTCTGTATCATTTGGACGGTGCAAGTAGAAACACACAGACATCACAAGAACACTATTTTATCCAAAACTATTGTGGGAAAATGGTACTACTTATAGTTTTTCTATAAAAGCATTAGATCGTAGTAGAATTCGGTGTATCAGTACGTGTCGCGATTGGTTGACTGCACGCAATGACCTCGATAAAAATTGCTTTAGCTGCTCACAACTACCTCTTACGATCTCATTAACAAAAAATCTTGCACTCCGGAATCAGTCCTGTAACATTATAAAAACCTCAATTACGACTTCTATTTCACATCGCCCAGTTAAGTGCGCTTCCGTTTTGCAAAATTTAGTCAAATAAAAGGTGCAAAATCAGGGTAAGGAATTGAATTACACTCTATAATGATCTACATATCGAGTCGGTACGAGTAATACTTTCTAAAAGCTGGTTTAGCAGTAGCTAGTGATCTGATCCGCGTAGATTGGGGCGGGATTAGGCTATACCGGGTCATTATTCCACGCAGTAAGGGCTGGGACACAGGATACTACGGGACGAGATCATTAAACATTTTACTCCACATATAATGTGAAGCTGCCAGATCTGCACACACATGAGCGCCTCCATATGAGCCGAGGGTACAAAATAGTGAGAATAATAGCGATCCAGAAATATGCTCAGCAGTGCGAACAATACTTACCTGCTTAAACAAGTGTAGAGGCTGAATGATTGTTCCACCAGATCCTAATGTAACGGGGTGACTCCGTTACATGATAGTTTGCACAAGGTAATATCAAGCATGAATGTTCTGTTAGGACAAACACAATGTTCTTACAATATTGGCTCAATTAGCAATATTGTGTTGCAGATTAATACACTGCTCATAGGTTGAGATACATTATTGCTATTAACCAACCAAGCCGAGCCACGACAGAAGAATGCAATGATGGTGGACAGATAGTACAACACACGTTTGTATTCAGACATAGTTGAGTAAAGACTAAATAGGGTATTGACAGGAGACTTACTATACTAAATGCGGTTCTACTTTTACCCTTTATCGCATGCTGATACCTTCGTCTGCATGACGGATGTACGTGAAATCTCAAGACACCGTCTTACTATGGGTTCGATATAAACAGATTGTACTGTGACAGTACAAGCGACTGGTGCCCCGTTACACGAATTGGTGCCGCTTAGGGCGTATTTATGTATACATGCAAGTAGGGCTCTCCTTTAGCGCGATAATAACGAAAATGCGAAATCTGACCAAATGCATCTACATCAATACATGTGAATTCCATTGGGTCATGACGTCTTGGATCATGGCCTTGGCGAAAACTTTGACGTATGTGGTCGCTCGAAAGCAATCTTGACGTTTAGTGGAATAGTAAAACCTCTTGACGAGGCCTTCGAGCAATCGTTCACTTTAAAAAGCACCTTCTTTGGAAATCAAAGTTACGATTCCCCAGTAAACTCAGATATCCATGTGATCGTTACTGGGGCAACCAATACATTTTTACAAGCATCTCCATGTGTCTTAATGGGTATGCCTTGGCAGAAAGATCAAATAGTGTCATAAAATGCTAAATTTGACGATGTATATATTTTTAGAGATGACACGTCTAATTTACATTTTCTTGATTACCAAGAATTACACGAGTAGAAAATGTAATAAAATCAACGTCATATTAAACTATGTATGACATTTCTACTCGTCTAATTTTTTGGGAATCAAGAGAACGTAAAATACTAGCATCATCCTTTTGTAGGAATACATTGTCATATATGATTAAGCTATACGAAGTATAGTTTAATAATCATTGATCCGGGATGTGTGGGACGTATGGGATAGGACGTTGCGGGACGTACGGGATGGGACGTTGCCGGACGGAGCCTTAGTCATGCAGTAAGGTCTCCCTTATTTAATCTGGCTGGAGCTGCCAAACACTGATTAAATAAGGGGATCAGTAAATAGCAGAGTTACTAGGGATAGGGTTGAAGCGAAGGGATGCTACACGTGCTACCAAGAAAGACGATAGCGTGGCTGCACCGCTCGTCCCACTTCAGAATGCTGCATCGATACTTGCAATGCTCAAGACTTTCTTATTGCAGCAGAAGACTGGAGAGGAGCTCCCAGGGATAATTCAGAAGATGCAGAATGAAGAGGGAAATCTTCAGCGAAAAATTAAGCAACAAACTCAGGATAATTGTTTTTGTTGTGGTTCCTCGGCAGCAGATTAAGAATTGAAGGCGGAAATGTTCTCTGGCTTCAGTAAAAAATCAAGGGAGTTTTTCAAAAGGTGGCCTGGGCCCAACACGCGACTCGGCATTTTATTATGTAAGGGATATTATTAACGTAGCAATAAGTAAAACGGAGACTCTACTGGAGTGGTGTGGATATCAGGTTTGCAAGGATGTAAATTATTGAAATAGAGGGGGGGAAGGTGCATGTATCGATTCCCTCAACACGATGAGCGGCAAATCTATTTTGTCCTATCATTTCCGCCGGCACTATATTGGCAACTGCAATTGAACGGCATTCGGCCCCAGTCATCCTTAGGACGTCGCAGAAAAAAGACTGGGACCAGTCGTGCTGTGGATCCGACCGTTAGCACAAACTCGCGCCAGTCGAACGATTTCGATTCGACGCCTCCAGTGTGGCAGTTGGAAATACGTGAGCAAGATCGCACGCTCGCACCTGCTTCACGATGGCTGCCAGTTGGGACGAGTGGACACATATCCAACCGCGGGCTTGGGGCTGCTCGGCACTTTGGATTTTGACGACCACTGCACAAAGGATCGAAAGCGATGACTGAGGCCGTACCGGGGCAGAGCGTGGGCATCGATCTGGGCACGACGTACTCGTGCGTCGGCGTGTGGCAGAACGACCGCGTGGAGATTATTGCAAACGACCAAGGAAACCGCACGACGCCATCGTATGTGGCGTTCACGGACTCGGAGCGTCTGATTGGTGACGCGGCGAAGAACCAAGTTGCTATGAACGCACACAACACGGTGTTTGATGCCAAGCGTTTGATCGGCCGCAAGTTTTCGGATCCCGAAGTGCAGTCGGACATTAAGCACTGGCCGTTCAAGGTGACTCGCGATTCGGCGGACAAACCTCAGGTGGTAGTGCAGTTTAAAGGGGAGACCAAGACGTTCCAGCCTGAGGAGATCTCGTCTATGGTGCTCATCAAGATGCGTGAGATTGCGGAAGCGTATATCGGCAAGCAAGTGAAGAATGCAGTGGTGACGGTCCCTGCATACTTCAACGACTCGCAGCGTCAGGCGACCAAAGATGCTGGAGCCATTGCTGGGTTGAACGTGCTGCGTATTATCAACGAACCAACGGCTGCCGCGATCGCCTACGGCCTGGACAAGAAGGGCGGCGAACACAATGTGCTAATCTTCGATCTGGGCGGCGGCACGTTTGACGTGTCGCTGTTGAGCATCGAGGACGGCATTTTTGAGGTGAAAGCCACTGCTGGTGACACACACTTGGGCGGTGAAGACTTTGACAACCGCCTTGTGGATCACTTTGTCTCCGAGTTTAAGCGGAAGCATCGCAAAGATATGACGTCGAACCAACGTGCTCTGCGTCGACTTCGCACGGCATGCGAGCGAGCCAAGCGGACCTTGTCCACTTCTGCGCAAGCGTACATTGAGATTGATTCGCTTCTTGACGGCATCGATTTCAACACGACCATTACGCGAGCGAGATTTGAGGATCTATGCGCCGATTTCTTTCGCAAGACTATGGAGCCAGTCGCCCAAGTTTTGCGCGACTCGAAGCTGTCGAAAGGCGAAGTGCACGAGATCGTCCTGGTCGGTGGCTCCACTCGCATCCCGAAGGTGCAGCAGTTGCTGACCGATTTCTTTAACGGAAAGGAATTGTTCAAGTCGATTAATCCGGACGAAGCTGTGGCGTATGGAGCGACCGTCCAAGCTGCAATTCTGAGTGGCGGTGGGGCCTCTTCCAAGCTGCAGGATCTTCTGCTGTTGGATGTAGCACCTTTATCGCTTGGATTGGAGACGGCAGGCGGAGTCATGACCAAGCTCATTCCGCGCAACACTACGGTCCCTGCGAAGAAGTCGCAGTCATTCTCGACGTATGCCGATAATCAGCCCGGTGTACTGATTCAAGTGTTTGAAGGTGAGCGCGCGATGACGCGCGATAACCATCTTCTAGGCAAGTTTAGCTTGGATGGCATCCCGCCTATGCCACGTGGTGTGCCTCAGATTGACGTCACATTTGACGTTGATGTGAATGGCATTCTAAACGTGTCAGCGGTCGAGAAGTCGACGGGGAAAGAGAACAAGATCACGATTACAAATGACAAAGGCCGGCTGTCACAGGCCGAGATTGATCGCATGGTGAACGATGCGGAGACGTACAAGGACCAAGACGAACGCAACAAACTGCGTGTCGAATCGAAGAATGGACTGGAGAATTATGCGTTTTCACTGCGCACCTCAATGAATGACGAGAAGATTGCAACGAAACTTAGCGCCGACGACAAAAAAATTGTCGAGGACAAAGTCGCGGAGGTTTTGCAATGGCTTGACGCGAACCATTCGGCTGAGAAGGAAGAGATTGATGCGAAGCAGAAGGAGCTTGAAGGGGTAGTGAACCCCATTATGCAAAAGATGTACGCTGCGGAAGCTGGTGTTGGAATGGGTGGAGGTGCTACCGGTGCGACAGGTCCCGGTGCGTCTTTTGGTGCGGAGGACAAAGAGGGCCCAAAAATTGAAGAGGTGGATTGAGGAAGGAGCGGATGGTGTCAATGCTGATGGATTGAGTGAAGAGGATGTCATCAGTAAGGGTGGCCGAGACAAATTGATGAATATTTGAGCAGGAAAAGCTCGTGCGTTGTGGTAGTCGGCTCTGGTGTTGCGTATGTTTAAGTACACGCAATGGAAACATTTGGACGAGATCATGAGTCTCATCTTGCATTTGTCGATGAATCACATGCTTAGAATGGCTGCAGCACGTGAACGAATGGTATAGTACACAACACAGCCGACGACAGGTGAAGTGGCTACGCGCTGTCTATGACTGATGCCGCTTTAGAATGCTCTACTGCGCGACGGCGCTCGGGCACTCGAGCTTTGCACTACATGTTCACTTTGTAGCTCCGAATTTGCCTACGCACCGTTGAAGCAGATCAGATTATGCTTTAAATATGGAAAAGGTATCGTAAGTCTAATGTAATTCTTCCTTGGCGTAGGATAGACGGGAGGTAAGAGGTTAATTACTGTACTATGACACCAACCACAACATCAGAACCAGTTCATGGTGCTGGGCGATTGGATTTTGAGCGAGACCACGGCACGAGCAGCGCTGTTTAATGGCTTGAACGCTTGTATAATCGCATATCCTGCACCACACATGATTTAGTTGCTTCGAGCAGGCCGACTCATGTCAAACTTGACGTCACGTAGTTCATTGTAACTCCGACAGTTGCATTCCATCCAGCCACAGCACCCGTAATTTACATGCTGGATTGCACAATGCAAGACGTGCTAACAACTTCAACTGTTATCGCAAAAGCGGTAGGGGCTAATCAAAGACCGTGTACCGCCTGCATCGTAATCGCTTTTTGAAATGAGCTGTTTACATGGGATTAATTATGTGCAAGATCACTGGTAGACTGAGGCGTGATGTCAACGCCAGCGTATCCGGGGCTGTCCCCAGTAATGCCCGATGACCCTCTCGGTTCGTGCTCGAGCGACTCGATACACACAGCATGGCAGCTCTAATAGCCGACTGCACTTTCGATGCCCTCGTGTCGCGATCGCGCGAAGTTGGCAGATGCATCTAGTCTGAAAACCTGGTCGTGGTGCTTGTGACGTCTTCGTGGCATCCTGATTGACCGCGTCGTTCTGGTTTATCCCATAGCCTAAACTGACAATTGTCGCGCGAATGTGCCGTGTTCACTTCCACATCTCGTCCGTAGTGAGTGCATTTCAACTAAAAGACCTGGTATCTGTGGGGTTTGAACCCACGCAGACTGGAATGTCTAGCGGATCTTAAGTCCGCCCCCTTAGACCACTCGGGCAAGATACCGTGCACAACCGCCGCATCTTGCTTATATTTATATATAACCTAAATCTATTCCAAACAAAACAAATCGACCAACACGCATCCATGCTCTTCGAAACACCTTTTGCTCACCAAGAATAGACACGATCGATGCTCACTCGATGCGAAACAAATGCTTCACAGTTGATTGCTCGCCATGTACGGGTGGAACAAGAGTCGAATCAAATCGAAAGAGAGAGAGGGGCTAAGAATGTAAAACAAGTATCGAGATCGATAGCAAACGAGAAGTGAGCCCTTGACCGAACCGCATCATCGGTGACGCGTCAAGTGCCGTCTCACACCACTCTTCCCCCAACTGCTGGCGCAGAACCTTAGCGATCACTTACAGCCGACGCTTCGACCGCCGCATCAGATTTTGTCGTACGTCCGGCATAGTTGAAGTGGGTGCAGCTCGGCGTCTGCTCAAGTTCAGAGCACTCTATAACCAGGTGCTTAACTACCACACTTGACCCCCATCCTGCACCAGTTTCCCTAGAGATGCCGCGCAAACCACTCCGCTTCATCCCCGTGACACATACAATACTTCAGCATGACCAAGTCGTCGTGTCGGGCGCCCTCAGCCGCTCTCTCAGCTGCTGCGCGGCTTGTCCAAAGCTGTGCAAAACCGGGTGAGTGGCTCGTGTCCACCACTAAAACAACCTCGAAACCTCGCTCCCGACTCAGATCACAACAGACGACAGTAACAATCGTGCGGTGCCCCTCTCGACCGAGCGGGAGGTAGCCAGACGAGTGAGTCCCACGTATCATCATCATTCAGACCCCCACCCACCCACCCCCACCCATCGGATGATAGACGACGACATCCCGCGCTCGCTCGAGCAAGAGGCGATTGCGCTCGTCAATCTGAGCAATCCCACGCAATTTGCTACTGCGACACAGCACGCCAAAGTGGCCCTTGCCGACGCCTCGGCTGAGCTCCTGGACGGCACCATCTCGATGAAGTCGCTGCTCGTGACGCTCAAGAAGAAGCGCAAGTTACAGCACGAGATGAAGGGCGAGGAGACGCAAGAGGCTGGAGACGTTCACGGGTCAGAGACGGACGTGGACAGCGCCAAGCTCCCGAGCTTCCGGACTGTGTTCCAGCTCCCGAAAGAAGAGCTGGTATCGGACGACGTCTTTGTCGAGTCCGTCATGGCCTTGGAGCTCAAGTGCAAGTACCGCACGGGCAAGTGTCTCAATGTGCGCGCGCTCAAGTCGTGTGGCGACTACCACAACTTGTGCAACTACCATCGCCTTCGAGCCAATGCCAATCAGCGCAAACTCGATCGGAAGAAGAAGGAGCAGCGCCTGCTACAGCAGCAGCAACTCACGGCCACAATGTTAGCTGGCGCGTCCTCACCTCGCGCTTTGAAGCAGCAGCTTGCTGTTCCTGCCTCGTCGCATGCAGCTGCGGCGGCGCTTGCGTCGCTTGTGGCCTCCCAGCCGCGGCATCACTTCAGTTCGCTCTTTGCAGTGGACATGACGGTGCAAGATGCAGCAGACAAGGCCTGCATGAATAGAAGTACCGGCACGACGAGCTGCGTATGCCTCAAGCAGGAAGACGCCTGCAGCTAGTAGACGCGCTAGACGACATTTGCGGTACCGGGTACTGCACTTGAGCCAAACCTGCCTCCATAGAATATACACTGCATGGATAACTAGAGCAACATACAACACGCGATGGCCATGTCGGCGCGCGTATCCGAATCAATTTTCAAGCTACAGTACATATTGATGGGACAACGGCACAGGCCGCCTGTTACTTTGTCTACGGCGCCAGCATAATATAATGGTGACTGGATGTCGTAAGAGTATATCAACGCACACATGCTGATGTGTCACGTGTACACGACCAGGAAAACCATTGCCACGAGCACAGCCACCAGAAAAAGAATGAGTCCGAGTTGACACTTGTCTAAAGCAGCCAAATGAAAAGCGAGTTAGAATGCAGCGTCATGTTGGCTCTCACGACGCACTTACTCACCTTTTGTTTTGAGGAGATTACTCAGCCGCCCCATGACAAAGTTCATGCGCTCTTGTGCTTCGTCCACATCATCAGTCATATCGTCCAGCATTCTGCGAGCAAGACCGCAGCATGGTAAGACAAAAGTTCACAGTTATTGAACGGGGTGCACCCCGGCCATACATACTTGTTCTGTTGTTTGACCTCATTGGAAATCTCTACTGTCACTCCATGCAAGCGCGTGATGTCAGTCTGAAGCCCTGCCAAATTTGTATCTTGCTGCTGCATGATTTGCTGCATAGTGCCATTCGCCAAAGCAGCCAAGCCGCGTGTTAGGCACAGTCACACTAACCCACACATTGTGTATTGATCTCCAGCTTACCTGACGTTGCAGCCTTTCCTGCTCCAGCAATCGCTCGTTCCTTTCTTTGTCAGTCAGGTGTGGGCTGGAAGACGTTGACGATTCCAAGGGCGCAATCGACTGGAAATCACCCAGAGTTAAAAGAAGCTCAGCATAACATCTCAGCAATGTCGAGAACTACAAACACACCTCGCGTTCTTCTTTGCAGCTCTGATCCATCACAGCATCAGTGCAGACATCGGCTGAAACACCTTCCAGCTCCTACATGCAACACGTACATCAGTCCTTCTTTTCCATTTCTCATCACCAGCCTCTTGTCCCGAAAAGCCCGAATCCATTCTCTACTTTTTTCGTAGCAGCAACAAAAGCTTTTCGACTTGCAATCTCCGCCTGCAACCCCAAACGAACGTCAGAAAATCAACACCAGCATCACTGCAATCTCTCTCTACTTCTGACCGCATCAATGTGCTCAAACTTGGCTCGATTGGTTTCCACCATGACGATCGTTTCCTCCAAGAACTTGACAGCCTTTTCCGCAGTTACCACAGCTCCTTCAATCTCTACAACACAGCAGCAAACAAGTTCAGCAGCAGTTCACAACAGTGAGGCAACATAGGAATGAACGAGCGCAATTATCTCAGTACACACGTTGAGTCAAATTCACTAGCTCTTCGGTCGATGAAACGTCGTTCACATTTTGACGAACGACCCGCCACTTGGCGTGTTTCTGATTCACAGCCGCTACTTTGGTCTCTAAATCACTACAGCAGAGAGAGTATCAGGATATGGAGCGAGAGAGCACATCAGTACAGAGAAAAAAAGACAAACGCACTCTTTGAAGACGTAGAACGGGTCGCCACTAGCTGCCGCCCTGGACAGCTCCTTCTTCATCATCAAAATGGCTTGATGAACACACCCGTGTATCGCGAACTTGATATTCTGTAGTGACAAGGACTTGACCAAGTCTGATGGTCGTACTTAGTGGTGGACTAGAAAAGTACGGATTTTCATTGCCTCTTCCATTAATGGATTATAGAAAAAGCGATTTTTTGCGTCTGGTCTTTTTTTTAGCTAATAGGTACGTCAACGCTTTCTGTGAGTCATTATTTAAGATAGCATACATTATTGACTTTATACATGACAGAATTCCCAACATTTTCATGTGCTCGGGTCAAAGAGTTTATTCTCATTTCCGTGGTTGGTTTTTCTCGAAAAAGTGTGGAGTCAATAGTCCGGATCTACGAGGCAGCATGCATTTATATTTGCAATTAAATGTGAGATCTGAAAAAACTAAATAAGTAATTAATTGAATCAGCACAATTTTGAAATTATGATCTAAGCGTAAATTAGTGTAGATAACCAATTCGTGAAATTATTGGAAAATACACAAACTAAATCAGGATCGAGATTTATTTTAATCTGACCATTTTCTATTTCTTCGTACATGTTTCACTCATTTTGATTTGTGTCCTGTCTTAATACATTCTCTCTGAACTCCTTGAAAACAATTCCTTGTAATTACGTCAAATCACATGAATCCAAAGGAGTGTCTGTAACGAATGTCCGACAGGCGATAGCGACACTCCATATAGAACCGATGCCAGATTTGGACGCACGCCTCATAGATCACCACACGTAATCGTTCATCACCAGACTTCGACCGTCGAATAAGTAGTGCCCAGCGTACTTAAGTTCCGAATCGACAACAAAGCATCGCTGCGTTGCACGTGATACCTCATGGTTGGACTATGTCCTCACAGGTGACTAAGCTCTCATGAAATCTATACTAAAGCGCTCCAGCTGGCGCATACCTGTCGGTCTTTAGTCGATCTACGTCCGCAGCGTCTTCCAACTTCCTGATACGGATGGCCGACGGTCCTTACTGAAGAAGAACATCTCACATCACTCTGAACCGGTCAGCTCAGGACGTCCTCCCGCAATGTTTAGCTCTACAAGCTCACAATCGATTCTGCAACGATTATAACGGGGCACCCTTTGCTTGGGGTGCCACGAAACTTCACGTACACCAGTACGTGAAGAGGAAGCTAATCTACTCAAACAGCTAATTTGAGTAAAGGGTAAACAGAGAACTGTATTTAATATAGTTAAGCTATCAATATAACTTTAATCTTTACCTAACTATATTAAACTACGCCGTCGTATGACGACATCCTGCTCACCACTCATTGCGCGCGTCTAAAAGCGATTAGTGGCAATCTATGGTTGATATGTCTAATGTCAACCAATCTTGGAGCAGCGAATGAATATGACCTGAAATGGGATATAATTCCTTAATACTATCCATCTCGAATAATATTGTCCGTTGCGTCTGCAGCGGATTCCTCGGGTCGTAATCAAGACGAGTCTGAAATAGAGCTCATTTATTCTGGCGAGTCGGATGAAGCTTTCGGCTCGAAGGCGACCCCTCACGCCTCGGGGTCGCCCGGGGTGGACACTGCAAGAGCCAGTATGACTGGCTCTGGTCAACGCGGCGGCATCATGTCCGGGATCTTCGGACCGAGCGATTCGTCTGGCCAAATCTCGTCTCACGCAAGTCCATCTGACGATAGGACGCGTGGTGATGGTGTGCATTACCACGAGAGAAGTAACTCAAGGTATTGGGGTAACACTGGTGCCAGTACTCATGCTGGCACCAATCAAGAGGTCAGGAACTGAAATGTCCTGCGCCACGCTCCTCAAACGGAGTCTACTTATATGCAGTCATCCAAGGAGCTAGATCAAGTGGCTGGCATGACCACTGAACGGGATCGCATCCCTTTGTTCGACTGTAGGAGAACCTGTCCTCCTAATTCCAGCACGGAAATTATCCGTGCTGAGGAAGAGCTCTTTACCGATGCGTTTTTCAAACATCGATGGTACAACGGCAACCGTGGTCGAGACGGTAGGGCCTTGGTGCAAGGATAAAATTCCTTCATCCATAACATCGAGTGCATTGGCCGTGAGGCCTGGCTCGGTAACTTGATGCAGCTCGCATCAGGTTTGAGAAGCTCAACCCAGTCGGGGCGCGATACCAGCTACACCGACTGTCAAGAGAAGCAGGATTACCCTGTCTCTCGTGGGGTGTTTCGTGTCCAGGTTGCCTGAAAATCTTAAACCGTGCCCCTAGGGAGGCCTACCTCCCTAATGTTCCCCACTGGAAGCGCACATCTCTTCTATGATGGCCGAAGGGATTGACACCTTGCAATCCCTGTACTCGCGTGCGGGGAGGTCTTTTTCCGACGGCCCTTCTTTGAATGCAGCGGGTGGGTCTCGTCGTACTTCTCGACGAGACCCAGATCGTTAACGATCAGCTGGGCACGAGGCTCCCAGTTGTCCCACGCCGGTGGATAGCCACGCCAGCGGGCGAGGGGTAACTCGTCCGGACGCCATTCACATCGCGGTGGTTCAAGATACGCTCCACCAGAAAGCGTTGACCACCGCTTGAGTCCACCAAATGATGTGGTGGCGGTGGGAACACCTGATCCGGATTGAGGGTCGGATCAGCTTAATGTTCAAGAGCCGAAACGTCTAACGGAACAGTTGCAAGATGACCTGGCTCACGAACGGACCCGGCGTTATGGGCTTGATGATCTTGTGAGGATAATTATAATTCCCTAACGCACGATCGTTCGGACGATCGTGCCGCTTTTGCGTTCGCGCAACTTGAGAACGAACTTTCGACTCGTTCTCTTCGTGACGAGCTGGCTGTAGCTCGTCGAGGCATCGCTGAACTGCGTGAACAGGTCGCTTCGCTAGTTGACCAGACTGGCTCATTGAAACGGGACCACTCGAAGGTGGTCTCGGCTCTCGACCGCGGAGGTGTTCTTCGCCTCTCGAAACGGGCTCGTACTGATAGTACGGGCGGAGACGACCAACGTAAAACTTAGGATGTGTGGACATCTTACGGGGCAGCTCAATCGTGTATGCGTTGCCCATTCGGCGCAACACACGAAATGGACTGATGTACCTGGGCAGTAGTTTACTGCTGCCCACGTTTGTCACTGCGTGCTTCGGTAAGTTTACTGTAGACAGTAAAACTAGGTCTCCTTCATCAAATGAAAGAACGTTCGCTCTTCCATGTTCGTCTGCGTTTCTCTTCTGTCTGTCTAGTACATCTGCAATAGAGTCTTGAACGAAGCGGACAACCGCTTCGCGAGTCAGCAGAAATTCCTCTGCTGATTCATCCTTGTCAACAGCAGTGCGCTTCGTGTGCACTTCTGAAAGGACGTTGTCTTCACCAGTGAGGGTGTCATCGTCCTCACTTTGGCGGTCATTGGCGATGCTGAATATGCCAGCATCTTCGTCATCGTCATCATCGATATCGATCCCATCGACATCGGCATCCATCACGTCGACATCATTGTCGACGGGTGATGAGCAAGAACCAGATCGGTTTTTGTTCGAGCGATTCCACCCCCTTTAAACTAGAGTCATACTCTAAGAAGGCGGGTAAACGTGGATGGCGTAGGCCATTCACGAAGAACGGGGTACGCGTTGTCGACGCGTGCACCGAGTTGTTGATGGCAAATTCCGCCATCGACAAGAACTCACTCCAACTCGTAAACGAGTGGACGTACCCTCGAAGTATCTCTTCGAGGACGCGTTTGATGCGTTACGCCTGACCATCTGTTTCACGACGGTCAGAAGTTGAACATCTTCAAACGTGTTCCAAGTGAACGGAACACGGATTGCCAGAAATCCGCTGTGAAGCGGGGGTTCCTATCAGGCACGAGTTCACGGGGTAACCCGTGAAGTCGGAAGATAGGATCGATGAAGACACGAGCACGCCATGGGCTGTGATTGACTCCGGTACAGCAACAAGATGTACCATCTTGCTGAACCGATCAACAAACACAAAAATACCAGTATTCGTGTGAGCGTCTTTGGGAAACCCGAAGATGAAGTCCATCGATACGGACTGCCAACACTCTGCCGGAATTGGAAGAGACTGCAAGGGTGCGCGGGATGAAGGACTAGGCTTCACCCGTTGACAAACTTCGCAAGCGCGAATGTATCTGCGCACAAACTCATACTGGGGGGGGGGGCAGTAGAAGTCAACACTCACCGTGGAGTAAGTATTTTCCCTATCGCGATGCCCACTTGTTGGGTAATTGTGACACTCACACATGATGCGCTATCGCAAATTATCATGAGCGGGAACGACGACACGAGGTGTGTCGCCGTTGACTGCTGTATAGTACAGCATTCCATCACGAACTGAATACCGTTAGTTTTAAGAGAGATATTGATACTTTAAGCTTTTCAAAGCTTCACTGCATGAATTAGACACGTAATCCATCAATCGCAGAAGAGACTCATCTTCTGCGTATGCTTTCCGCACGTCTTCGAGCATTCGACGACAGAACACTCACTGATAGTGTTGCAACAGTGGGATCACCCCTACAGTTGAGCTGAGCATTCGGCTCCAAATCGGGCCGACGCGAAAGATCATCAGCGACGACATTAAGTCGTCCTGGTTTACACTATACGGAGAAGTTGTACTTCGCGAAGAAAGACAGCCACCTCGCCATTCATCGCGAGAGGCGTGGACTGTTCACGGCCGTGCGTAATGACGCATGGTCGGCATAAACGATGAAGGGCCTGTCTTTTGAGAGATATACCCGAAACTTGGCCAGTGCATATTTCATGGCAGAAGCTCATTGTCATGCACCGGATAATTTCGCTCAGCTGCTTGCAGCTGACGCGATTGATAACAGACGACGCGCTCAACGCCGTCTGAGTCGTACTGCATTAACGCGCAGCCGATCGCAAAATCGCTTGCGTCACAGACCACATGAAATGGTCTATCCTGGTCTGCAAACTCTACACAGGCGTTTGTATCAAGCTTTTCTTGATACCTGAGAGGGAATGCTGACACTCAGCACTTCATGACCACCTTTCCTTTTTCTTTAGTAGACGAGAGAGATGTACAGTCATCTCGGCATAGTTGCACGAGTATTTGTGCAAATATACTGCCAAGCCAAGGAACTTTTGAAGTCCCTTGACGTCGACTGGCACAGGCCAGTCACTGATCGCCTTGATCTTTTCCGGATCAGGGCGTACACCGTTTTTACCCACGATGCAGCCAAGAAGTGGTATTTTGCTCGCTGCGAATATACACTTCTTGAGGTCCGCGAACAACTTATGCTCTCGCAGTAGAGTAAGAACCTTCCGGACGTGAATTCTATGACCCTCCACGTCCGTATTTTTATCCATAGCCCGGCTATGGACGAATACATCGTCGAAGTAACTCGTTGCGAAATTGCGCACCGATCGCAACAGGTTCGTAACACATCTGTTAAACGTTGCGGGGGCGTTACTTAGTCCCTGTGGCGTCACTAGCCACTCCTAGAGCATACCACTGGGGGTGCTCACTGCTGTGTAAGGGATATCCCGTTCACGCATGAGGATTTGATAGAATCCAATCATCAAATCCATGGACAAAAAGATGGTACTCTTTGCCATACCATCTATGATGACGTCCTTCCTTGGGATTGGCGTTCAGGCCGGTACCGTTGCAGCGTTCAGTTTATTTAACGCGTGCACTATCCGCCACCCTCCTGTGGCCTTTCGCACACAGAAGGTCGGACAGCTGTGTGGGGATGTTGATTCCCTCACATGACCAGCCGCTAAACGATCGGCAAAGAATTTGTCGATCGCTGTGACCTGTTCACGAGGCAGTGTCCACTGCTTCATGACACAGTACTTCAAAAAAGGTTTCAGTTTGATCCCATGCCGAGTGCATTTGTCCTTAGGCAGCTCGCATGGCACGGATTCAGGGAAACATCCCTGAAGTCAACCAAATCCTTATACAAAGGATTTGTCTTTAAAGACTCCCAAGATTGAGACGTATGCCAATCAATCCGAGTCTTCTCATCGAGGACACTCTCATCCAGCGATGAGCTACTTAGAACCCGTTCGTTCCCAGCAAACACTTGTGCCGACCGAATATCGGCGATGTACGCGTCCTCTGTGACGAGTACGCAGATCTGCTTGATCTTGTCACTACGCAGATCTCGCAAGAATCTTTTAGATTCTAGCGTTGGCAACTTGACTACCGCCGAAGCTGACTTCGGGGGCGTCACAGATCAAGTGTATAAGCGCCTACACTTGATCTGTCATTCACCAAGACATTCCCTGACTCGGTGATTTTCTGGGAAAACGCATCTGAAGGTTGTTGGGGACCCACACCCTCAACATAACTCTCTCGGGAGTTATTTCTCTCAGGAACGCCAAAATTTTCTTCCGTAACGTGTCTTATCACGGTCTCGTCCTCTTCGATCGACTCTCTTTCAGTCGATCGGGTTTGCTTTGCGATCGACTCTCTGATAGTCGATCTTGCTTCAACGTGTTGTTCATCCTGAATAACACTACTCTCTCTTCTCGGATGCACCATTATCGGTGTGCATCCGTGTTCCAGTCCACTCGATCTCTTCGAGTGGTGAACCTTCGGCGTAGCATATGTCTCTACACAGATGCCGGAAGCTGGTTCCACAGTGCAGTGGTCTTTTACGCTGTGATCTTGTGCAGTCGTACTAAAGACTTACCACAAGTGAGGCCATCGCACTCACTCGTAGTACATCCACACGCTTGTGGACCTCCAAGACGTTCATCAGATGGCCATCCGATGAACAACCGGCAGGCATCTTCACGGATCGATGCTGCCACCTAACACATGGCCGGTACTTTCTAAGCCATGGCAGACCAAGGATGACATCAAATTTGTCATCCAAATCCCGTACGATGAAGTCATCATCGTACTGCTTTTATTCTAGCGTGTAGTGCGTTCCCACTACACGTTTCTCAATTGTTACGGATGCGCCTGTAGCAAGACACACCGTCATCCTCGTTGGAGGGAAATCTTTCTCAACATAGTTGAGTCACTATCTTCTAGCGACTGGCGTCGAATAAAACTGTTCGACGCCCCACAGTCAACCAGGGCGCGAAGTGACATTCCGCTTGTCACTTCGATCTTCAAAGTGATGAGAGACTTCTCATCACTAAAGGCAGTAGCAAACAGCGACTGTGTGTTGGGAGCAATCTTTGTCAAGAGTCCTGCGAATTCTCTTGACGTTGCTGGATCAGCAGGGTGCTCCGCCCCTACTGACCCTGACCGTTTTTGACGGTCCGACTTGCTGTCGCGGTTTAGTGACATTGGACCCGAGCCTCGAACCCTTCCTTGGCCAACGGCGGTCATCACGTCCTGTCTTTGGACGTGTTCCGGTGCTCGGGACACTACACTTATGAGCGTAGTGCACAATCTTCTGACAGCGATGGCATCTTGCCGTTCGCTTGTGACTCAGAGAGCAAGAGTTCTCGCTCTAGATGTAACAGAGGTCCATTGGTTCGGGACCTCATGTTTCCTGTCGTCTCGTCGGACGATAGTTTAACGAGTTAGCCTGAGACTGTCTCAGGCTGAAGTCTTCTTGTTCCGCATACGCTATCGCCCTTTCCAGCGTATGGAAGTCCTCTGGGAACATGTAGGTCTTCACCGGCCCATCCACAAGGCCGTAGATGAACACTTTGATGAGCGTGTGCTCATCAACAGGGTTTTCCGTGACGCTACTCGCAAGGTAGCGTAGGTGCTGTGCATAAGCGTGCACGTCACGCTTACCTTGCTTTAGCCTCAAGAGTGCAGAGCGTGCTCTGAACTCGGCTCTCGGCGGCTCAAACGTCTCTTTGAGCTGAGACTTAAAGGTCTCTAACGACTTAAACACTTTTGGGTCGTGAAGCTTGAGTCCTAAGGCCCAAGTCTTTGCTCGTCCCGTCAAATTTGATAGGGCGAAGGTGACTTGCACCTCGTCACCCTCGATGTGACGGGCCCTGATGGCATCGTCTAACTCGACGAACCATCTCAAAAGGGAATCTTCATCGGTTCCCTTGTACCTTGAGATATCAATCTTCAAGGTTTCGGGTTGACGAATGTGCGTCGGCCCGCCCATTGACTGATGAGAGCCTTGCTGCTGTAGCAAGGCTATCTTCTGTCGTTCGACGGCAAGTTTCCCTTGTAGGAACTTGTTGATAGAAGCATGTTGCTGGTCTCTGCTTAGAGACTCCAACATACCACTGATGGCGGGTTCGCCCATGAGCACACTCATGCGGCCGACTACCTCCCATTCTGAGTCATTCAGATGGGAGTAGATTTCACGTGCGATGTGAAAGCTGTAGTGTTCTTTGTCCAACATGTTCATGTTGCACGTACACTAAGTAGTCGTTGGACGGACTACGAACTGCTACCAGGTGTAACGGGGCACCCTTTGTTTGGGGTGCCACGAAACTTCACGTACACCAGTACGTGAAGAGGAAGCTAATCTACTCAAACAGCTAATTTGAGTAAAGGGTAAACA